GCAATCTCGGATATGAACAACTTCTGAGGTTTCTGGCCTTTAAAAGTCCGCACGAGTTTGCGTGTTGTTAATGCAAAAAAAACAAAAAAAAAAAAAAAAAAAAAAAAACAAGAAGAAGACACAAAATCCCCTGCCTTCTCCGGGATCTCTGCCAATGCTTCGGATTCGGTCTTGTTCTGCGCCCACAGCTCGCGCTCGACGAGTCGGAGGAGATCCGCTCGGAGCTCGAGCTTCTGGTACGTGCGGAGGTAGTAAAGCATAGTCGCTAGGACCTACCGAACACAGGCAGGGACGTGGAAAGCGGTTAAAAGAACCATGTGCATCCTTTAGGTCTACCCCGGAGCTGAAACGGTACTGTATGTGAATGCGAAGTGGGCGCGTCCAGAGAAGCTCAGTCGGATGCCGTTGCCATTATCCAGAATGGGGACCGAATCTATTTGAAATATATGCACATTGCTTCACCATTTCCAGGACGAAGGCTTCATGCCACCTTGACACGACTTGGCTTGTTTTGGGCTCGAATGCTGGACTGGTGTCCACATCTTCCTGAGATTGTTTTTTTGATGCACCGCATGCGCCCAATGGGCCTTCTTCTGACCATCATGACTGTAGTTCATGGAGTCGCTTGAGAACATGCGCGAGTTACCCAGTATCGGCTGGATGTCCGCGTCCTTAACACAAGACCAGCCAAAGTGAAGGTGCTACTTTTGGCTTCCCGGAAAAACAACTCAAAATACAAACACACCTAAACTGCCATTCCCAAATTGTGAAATCACGGTAACATCTGAGCCGGAAATACAGAGGCCCCCACCTTCACCAATTGCACATGTGTGTAACCACAATTGAATAGGGTTCCCAAAAAATACACACAAGAAAAGCACAGGATCCTCCAAGTCAGCTGGTAAAGGTGGTTTTCAACATTGCCAGCATGCATCCGTTTGAAGAACCCCTGTGCCAGCCCTGAACCGACCTCATTTCTAGGCCCCCCAAAAACTCGCGCATGTTCTCAAGCGACGCCATGAACTACAGTCATGATGGTCAGAAGAAGACCTATCAGGCGCAGGCTGTGCATCAAAAAAAAAATGGCAGGAAGATGTGGGCACCAGTTCAGCATCCGAGCCCAAAGCAAGCCAAGTCGAGTCAAGGGGGCATGAAGCCTTCATCCTGGAAATGGTGAAACCCTTTAAGAACCAATGCCACACAAAGCTGTGATTCCCAATGTGCAATTCAAATAAATTCGGTCCCCATGGATAATGGCAACGGCATCCGACTGAGCTTCTCTGGACTCGCCCACTTCGGCACATACAGTACCGCCTCAGCTCCGGGGTAGACCTAAAGGATGCACATGCTTCTTTTTCACTTTTGGAAGGTAGCTCTTAAACTAGATCCTCCAGTAGAGAGGTTAGAGCTGTAGTCTAATTTAGTAGGAGAACCCAAACAACTCAACAGATCCCGGGCAGATTCGTGATAAATCAATGCATCTCTCGCCGCGCCTGGGCCTTGTTCAAGGATCGGATGATCTCCCGCTGCTTCTTGTCCAGCTTGGGCGCACGCCCCTCGTGATCCAAGTGGCAAAAGCCACAGTCGGCACCCTGCACACAGTACCCTGACCTGAGGGCGGGAAGGTCAGCTGGTGGCGGCTTGCTCAACTCGGGTTACAAGGAGTTGACTAAGCCAGCTCCCGTCCCGCCCACATTTTTTGCCCCCCCCAAAAAAAAAAAAACTCCCCCTCCCCCCCCCCCAAAAAAAAAAAAGGACAACCCCCCCCCCCCCTCCCCAAAAAAACAACTCTCACCCGCCTGTGGTAGATGCAGGGGCGCCGGCAGAGATCCGGATGCCCACGGCTCCCCAAGCTATTATCTACATCCATCGCTACCAAGCCTTCTGGAGAGTCCTCAGGTTGCTCTTCTAAGTCCTGCATTCGGCACGCGCCACACAACCCGGCACTTTCAACACCCACCCCCCTCCATTTGCGCCCCCTTGAAAAAATGACAATATGTCCAGCAGTGATAGATTCTTAAAATCAAAAAGGGAAAAAAGCAAATGGAAGACCCCCTTGAATTCCGCTTGAACATGGTCCTTGGCAAATCATCCGCGCCAAGTTTGATCAGAGCTGTTCACTCAACAGACCCGGATCCCGGAAGACCGGACCAATCACCGGAACTCTCCCATCACGTGGGCCAATTCTCCACTAAACGATGTGGGCTGATTTGTGTGTTCCTCGATTGGGTGTGAATTTGTGAGGGGCCTCCTGTGGACATCGAATCTACATGGGGATTGTCAAAGCAAGGAAACCAGGATTGAATCCGAACTTGGTCTTAAGGTTTGAAAGAAGATGGTCAAGCAACAGATACATATATATATATATACATATATGTCCATCCCAACTCATTGGAGAAAAACGAAGGCCGAAGGCCTTCAGAACCAGCTACCCAGAGCCAATGTGCTAGCTGTTGCCCACTACACCCAAAGGAAGAAATGTGAACCAATCGAAAAAGGGGAACTCAGACATTCCCTGAACTGGAATAAATGGTTAATCAAGCTCGAGGTTCATGGCGGGTCAATTGAATCGAATTGGTGAGAATGCTGACTATTGAATTTGAGTCCTCGCTCGGCTGACGAAGACCATCCGCTGCTTGTGCCAGCTCCGCCACATACCCCTGCAGCTCCCATTCCCACGCCTCGGGCAGAAACAACAAAAGCGGGGAGCACGCCGAATTGAAATGCAAGGACCCGAAACAAATATGAATGGCTTGTGAGGAACATTGATTGACCAAGCTAAGTCATGCTCATAAGAGAACAATGTGCATGTGCGCGTAATTACTTAGCCCCGAACAGGAAAGGAGGCGTGACGCACTTGGAACGCCAAACGGGCCTCACCAGCGAAGCCACGCTTGCTGCTCAAAGTGATTTACCCGAGTCCTGTGACCAACCTCGTGTCTAAATGTTGTCTCAAAAACAGCGAAGAAACTCGCAATCCCAACAACACCAAATGCCAACACAATGACAAGTCGAACGCACACATGCGCAACACACCTTTGGAAGCTGCGTGTTCATGCGCGTCGTGTTTTGCTTCGGGCAGGGGTTCCGAAAGCCTTTCTGCACCGCGCCTGTACCAGCGGCGCGGAAGGTGTCGGGGGCAGGCTGCTAGCGCGCCGTTGCGGTTCAGGTTCACGTGGCTCTTCGAGAGCTGTGATGAAGGTGCGGCGATACTCCAGGACCAAAGCCATCGAACCTAGCCACTTGGGTTGCTAAGACCCGATGGCAACACCAAGTTGGTCGGACAAAAAGGAAACTACGGAGCCCCTTGCGACGTTCTTCCTGTTTGAGCCCTGAACCCAAAACAGCCAAGGGAAGGCGTAGAGTTGGGAGTTCTCTTCACATCTCAGGGTTCCTTCCTGTGTTCCCCGGTCAGTTTGCCGAAGATTATGAATAGTTGATAAGGGTTCATGCCAACCCCCAAAGACTCGGTTGCGAAATCTGCTCCCCTGCTAAAAGTTTAACTTCAGTGGTTTAATGGAAAACCCATTACCTGGCAAAAAGTTGAAGTCCTTTAACATCCAGGCAAAAATGCACCAAAGCAGAAGCATACACATGACAAACAAAGCGTCAGTGGCTGACCTGCACAGCGGCTTCCTTGAAGTGAGCAACTTGGTCATTGACCACGTCCAGCTCCCACACATGTTCCGCCATGTTTCATGGGAATCCCGAATGAATCAACCCCTGATTGATCGATAGGGGGTGTTTCCTTTTAGTAGCTTTTGTGGGGTGTCACCGTATTAAAAGGATGGGTCTCTTAATCTAGGGTTCCCATTAGCATGTTGGGGCGTATGTTCTTTCCAGAACACTGAACGACGGCGAGTAGGCAACCAGTATAGAAACTTGTAGCCGGACGTCAGTGCGACAGAAAATGAAACCTATGGTAAGCTTCGAAAGGGGGGGAACAAATAACGCATCAGTCAGCGGCCAAGCGGCTAAGACTACCGGCCGCTCTCCCAAATCCGGCTACGCTCCAAAGCGGAAAAACTGCGGCAAGCTGAGCAATCCTGAGATCCATCCACGAAGCGGCCTGACTTAGCTACGTGTCTAAGGACAAACGAGCAGCGTTTCACGTGGGGGGTGAGACCTGGCCCCGCGAGCACGTCAGGTGGTAAGCTCAATCTTGGTTGCTGTTGACCCCTCTGCAAAGAGTTTAACTTTTTGTGGGTTTAGTGAAAACCCCTTGATGTCCCCAAAAAGTTAAAGTCTAAAGATCCAACCCAATAGCAGTCAAGCAATGATCTCCCAAACACTTGTTTTGCGAAGGAACATGAGAATTGACAGGCATCACCCATTTCATGTTCTCACTTGCTGAGTGGATGGCCCGAAAAAGTTCAAACTTTACATTTACCACTAAAATGGTCTTCCCAAAAAGTTTAAAGTTCATGAACTCAGGAAGTGAGACTGTTGCTGTTAACTCAACACGGCAAAGGTGGACTTGCTCGCGTTGCTTGCCAGTCCTGAAGCGCCCAAGTGCATTCTTCCCGGAATTGTGCGCTGCAAATTGGCTGGAAAAAATCCCACCATAGCTCCAAACCCGAGACAAGAAACGGCTCGCAACAACCCTTCACTAGCCGCAGGCTGGAACATGATCAACCTCGGGGTTTTGCTCACAAACATCGAGCACGCGTGAGCTCCTAAGTCAGGAGGCCCGGCCAAATCAGACATGTCATACTCTGGATGGACGAAATCCATCTCGCACCACTTTTAAGCCATGGTTGAACTAGTGTTTGTTGGCAATTTACTTTGGGGAATCGAATCACAGGGTTTCTGAACGGTGGTGCGATTTCTGGATTTCGCAACATCCACTCCCTAAAATTTATGGTGTTCCCTTTTGATTTTTTCACTTGAGAATTCTCGCACCCATTTCTGAAGGCTGCGTGAAGCGGATTTCGCCACACCATCCACCGCATTCCAGGTACGCCCCGCTCGCCCGACCCCAACGGACTGAGCCGAGTTGCCGCTCCGGTGACGGGGGGGCTCGATCGGGCCTAAGAACATGGCAGGGGTGAGCCCGGACCTTGGGAGCCCCCTTTTGACTGGTCCCCCCCCCCAAAAAAAAGGGGGGGAACCACGTGGAACCCACATTTTGGACACATCCACATCAAGCCGCCAAAGCAGGATGGAATGAAACCTGGACCGAATGTACATGAAAAACCGGCCGCCAACAAGCACTTCAAGATGAAGAGACCGAATGGCCCGATCACTGGGAGCAACTTGGCAAATCAATGGTTGGCTTTGTGTCTGAGTGTGACAGAATGGAAACGAAGCACCCTAAGGAGATCCTGAAGATCAAAAGGAATGCTCCCACGTCCAATCACAGAACCATAAAGCCTCGCCTAGAGGAACGTGACCGAACTGCCGGTTCAAGGACAAACCCACCTCGGTCCGTGCGGAAAAACCTTCAGTGACAAACAAAGTTTGCCGCGATGAACGAGGACAACTTTGACGCCGCCTGGGGCCGACGGCGCAAAGTTTTGGGAATTTCGAGGGAGCGAAGCAGAGCCGAAGCACAGAATGGGAACCTGCACTGCCTCGGGGTTCAACCTGATACCCTCCCAATTAACATGAAACCTGACAGGGGCCTTCAAAAGGAAATGGTCTTCAAGGACCCTCCGAGCGTTAGGTTCCATGTTACTTGGTGGGAGGGCATTTATTTGTTCAATGGCAGTGGACCCTACCCATAGCCTCCAGTAAAACCCTCCAGGTTGCCACGGTTAGTTCTACCAACATGGTCATCCACCACATGTTTCACCCCAATTGAACCAGGCAGTAGGACCGCCCACTCACGAACCTACCAGCTCCCAGAGCTCAACGTGAAAAGAGTGGAGTGGAATCCAAGAAAGCAAACTTTGATTCGTCATGCCAGAATGCCCGAGACCCGTAGTGTGTCCAGTAGAAATATGCAGTACATTCCAATAAACGGCGCCAACCAGCATACTTGCACGCACCTAAACCAACCAACCAACCAACCAACCAACCAACCAACCAACCAAACAACCAACCAACCAACCAACCAACCAACCAACCAACCAACCAACCAACCAACCAACCAACCAACCAACCAACCAACCAACCAACCAACCAACCAACCAACCAACCAACCAACCAACCAACCAAACAACAAGCAAACAAACAAAAACCAAACAAAATCCAAACAAACAAACAAACAAGCAAACAAACAAACAAAAAACACTACGCCACTCTATGACACAACCTTGCCGCACCATCGCACGAACACTCATTACATGCATCAAACGGCATGGCATAGGTCCCGCACACATGTTCAATACATGTTGCACCCTACATGATGCACAAGAAGCAGCAAACACACATAATAGTTTGCACGTATTCACACAAATTGCAGGTGCCACATACATACGGTACGTTGATTACCGTCATTGCAATTCATTCTTGTTGGTGCGATGGGTAGGGAATGACCTGCTTCCGGGTTTTGGGGATGAACCGGTTTCGGGGGATTCCCTTGTAGGAAGCCCACAAGGGATGGTTTACTGGGCTGCCCTCAGATCCCCCGCTAAAAGTTTCACTTTTAGCGGGTAAAACGCAAACTACCACTAAACACTAAAAACCTAAAAGGCTAAGGAACCGCGTGGCTGGGAGCCACCGAGTTTATAGGGGTCCTTCCACGTCTCCTCCTATCGAACCAAAGAGGCTCCGGCGACCGATGCTTCGAGGCCGCGACTCGACGCCACGCGGACGGGCAATCTCGGTCCTCAAGGTCGGCGAGGCGCGACCAATTTGCAGCGCGCAATGAGGGGCGGGTCCCTCAAGGCCACATCCACAAGCCCAGCTTCTTTACCAGGCGGTCGAGGGGTCGCGGGGATTTCTGTAGACCTGCTGGGGGGATTCTCTAAAAACCAGCTGGCAAAGGCGTCTTCTTTACCAGGGGGATTTCTCTCAAGGCCAGCTGGCAAAGGTATCTTCTTTTCAAAAGGATTTCTCTAACCGGCTGGCAAAGGTATCCAAACGTATCCTGTCGTATCCTTGTGACGCTTATGGGGCCAAGGATTGTTCCGAAGACCCGATCGGCAGAGTAAACATGTTAAACCAAAGCGAACAAGACCAAGATCCTCCCCATGTGTTAGCCAGATTTCCGTACCATCATTTTGTAGACTAGAGCCATTTGATGAAATGGAGACAACCCACAGGCACTTTCCTCCCACTTATTTTCACGCATGGTCGACACGTGGGCAGCTGAGGGCAGCAGGTCCAACCCACTGCTCTCAGCAGCCCCCACACAAGGGGCGGGCGGGCGGGCGTTCAATAACTGCCACACCTACCCTCAACCTCACAACAAGCTGTCAACAAGCACATGACTGGGAAGGGCAGTACCTGAGGGTTGGCAACAAGCATGCAAGCAAGCTGGTGCAGCACGCCAAATTGTGTGGCCCTACGGGGCTTCCAGGTGGCTATGTCAGAACTTGGGGAAAAATGGGTTGTGGCCATGTTCGTTCTCCGAGCGTCCCTGAAGGGGTAGGCTTCCACAATACCACGCGCACACGTGCACACACGCAGAGACACGCGCTGTGCTATCCACACAGAAGCATTAAATGCGAGTCCCTGATACCGGTCCGCGCTACTTGCAGACGTGCATCAGCCTGTTCTGCAGCTGGCTCTCTACCTGAGCCCCAGTGCCCTCCCAAACTGTGGCACCAAAGAAGCTGAATGATCGAACTCGGGTTGTGGGGTACTTTAAAGCCAAACGTGGCTCATCGCAGGGCCAGTGTTGGCAGCTGAGAAGCTGAATGATTGAAATCGGGTTGTGGGGTAGCTTACAGCCAAACGTGGCTCATCGCAGGGCCAGTGTTGGCAGCTGAGAAGCTAAGTGATTGAAATTGGGGTTGTGGGGGTACTTTAAAGCCAAACGTGGCTCATCGCCGGGCCAGTGCTGGCAGCTGAGAAGCTGAATGGTTGAAGTTGGGTTGTGGGGTACTTTAAAGCCAAACGTTGGCAGCTCAGAAGCTGAATGATTCAAATTGGGTTGTGGGGTACTTTGAAGCCAAACGTGGCTCATCGTAGGGCCAGTGTTGGCAGCTGAGAAGCTGAATGATTGAAATCGGGTTGTGGGGTACTTTAAAGCCAAACGTGGCTCATCGTAGGGCCAGTGTTGGCAGCTGAGAAGCTGAATGATTGAAATTGGGGTTGTGGGGTACTTTGAAGCCAAATGTGACTCATCGTAGGGCCAGTGTTGGCAGCTGAGAAGCTGAATGATTGAAATTGGGTTTTGGGTACTTTGAAGCCAAACGTGGCTCATCGTAGGGCCAGTGTTGGCAGCTGAAAAGCTGAATGATTGAAATTGGGTTTTGGGTACTTTGAAGCCAAACGTGGCTCATCGTATGGCCAGTGTTGGCATCTGGTTCCGTCCTCCCTTGCTCTCTTCTTTGGAAAGACCATTTGGGTATGCGTCAAAATTAAACCACCAGAGGACTGCAGGTTTTAGTGCATGTGTCCATTTACCAGGGTTCCTTTTTGAGGACCGATGATTGACCCACAGCCATTTAGGCAGAAAAACCATTTGGACTTGTGTTTGCCACCCCAGGAAGTGAGGAGGCTAGGCAGCCTCCAGGAAGCGCATCTTCAGGTCGCCAGACAGGTCTTGCATCATTCTCCGCTGCGCCTGTCAAAGAGGCAACATGTTAACCCCGAAACGATGCTAGGTCCTCCAGTAGAGAGGCTAGAATAAGGGTACCAGTTTTTTTTTCTGTAGTCCATTTTGTAGGGGACCCTGTTTGGGGATTGATCGAGAGGTCCTTTGGGATGGCCATGGGAAACCGTTATTCGCCGCCAAAATAACATCTGCCGCGGTTACCCAGTCGCGGCCTCCAGGAGAAAAAATGAGAGAACGGCCTCCAATCTGAAATGCGCATCCGTCTAAGCAATCCACAACTTGACCAGTTCGAGACTCTACTTGAAAGGAAAAAGACATCCCGGTCCTCGTCAAGGTGGTCCAGTCGCCACGCTCGCGTGGAGCAATTTGGCATGGCTTTAGCACTGCTGCAACTTGGCTTTTTCTGTTGCCTGTGTCTATGTCAAAGCGAGGAAAAAAGACTGGGGGCGCGTCCCCTTTAACCACTGAGACGCTCTTTGATGCCAAAAAGTCTCATTGGGGCCAGCACACAAGATTCTAGTTAGGGACCTTGTCTCAGGCCATGGCCTGCGCCTCTCTTTCCCTCCAACAGGGATCCTTGCCAAAAAAAAACACTGAACATTGCAACTTGTACATGGTGGCTTCCCTTTATTTTGGTGTTGAAAAAGCAACATGTTTCAAATGGTTGCAACGTGTATCTTTTAAAGGAGCCCTGTCCAACTACCTCCAATCCTGGTCTGCTGTGGACTTAAGGCCTTGCTGAACCTCAAGCGGGGTCCCTCCAACTTGGTGGCCGCAACGGCCTCTCCGCAAAAAGTGTTTAACCTTTGTGGAATAACTGCAAAACCCTTGGCATCATTATCCCAAAAACTTGGTTGCTGTTGACCTCCCTGCAAACAAGTTTAACTTTTTGGGGGTTTAGTGGAAAACCCCTTGATTTCCCAAAAAGTTAAAGCCTAAAGATCCAACCCAATAGCAGTCAAGAAAAGTTGGGGTCTAAGGATCCAACCCAACAGCACTTTCCCTAGGCGTAACTTCGAGAATGCCACTTTTGGTGGACTGCAAACTCACGAAAAACACCTGGAATCTCTGTTGACGTTATCTTACATTTCAACTTTCAACGGTTCAGTGAATGCCGCGACTGCCCGGAATCGAAATGTTACCTGCTGGGGCCAACAGCTCTCTTAAGGCTCTCTTGGAACTCAACCCTCTGACTTCCATTTGGTTGAGACCCCTGGAAAAAATCCAGTAGTGATAAATCCCTTTTAACACCAACAAGGGAAAATAAATATTCTGAGGATTCCCCTGGCGAGCTTGTGACTAACAAGGACTCAAGTGACACATCGGTCCCGGTCAAGCGGTCTTTCCGTTGGATGCCTGCAGCTCCTCTTGCCAGCGCCCGCACTTCTCGGCCACCGCCTGACTAGGGCCAGTTATAGGATGTATATTCTATTGTTTGCTTCCCTCTGAGCCACTGGTAAAATGTAACATGTATCCTAAGTCTACCCCAGCGGTTGGGTAGCTTCTACATGGCACAACTCTGACCCCGGTGGATTCCACGGCGCAATGAGTTCTCTTATCAAAGGAGTTGGGACAGCTTCAATGGGGTCGGAGAAATTTTCCGGGGGGCGGTTTAGCAAAGGAGGCTTGGCAAGAACTTCCATACTGAAACGGTGGGAAAGACATGAAAGAAACCTCTGTGCACGAGGGTACCCACATTGCTTCCTATGTTTGGGCGGTTTTTTTCAACATCCAACTTAAAGGGCGGGTTCAAAAATCGGTGTCCTGGCCAGGCGATCCTCCAACAGGGCTCAAAAGGACTCATGGGAAGTGAAGCCTGAGACTAAAGTCGACGGAATGCATGCTGGACCTCACAGGGTCCATGCTAATTTCTGCGTGATTCTTTGGCCTTTTGGACAAGGACATGCCTCCAAGAGGAGTGCTGCACCTTTGGAGACTGGTCCCCGAACAAGCATGTTGCGGCATGCGATCTTTCACATTCCAAATCATCCCTGCCTGGAACAAGCAGGACCTGGCCATGGGTCAAAAGCCCGTACCCCCAGTAAACATCCCAATCCCCACTAAAATAGGTTCTAAAATGGGTGGTGAATTCGCGTACCCCAACATGGGATCCGATTGCTTTTGACAACACCGGCCATGTCTTGCATCTTCCATTTGGTTAAGACCCCTGGCAAAAAATATATTTCCAGTATATGGTGATAGGTTCCCTTTAAAACCAACAGGGGAAAATAGAAAATCATTCTTAAATGGAAGGCATGTAGTTCCCCTTGCAGAAGCCACAATGCCAAAGCTCCTTCTCCCAGGCTCCCGCCCGTCGCCCGTCCGCCTTCTCACAAGCGCGCTCTGCCAAGCGTTGGCCCTCCTGCAACTGACTGGGACATGCGCCAAACCAGTGGTTCTAAGGGCTTTTCCATTCTGTTCAACCATTGTTCTTTCCAAAAACCGGCCGTTTCCCGGGGTTTCCGCAGGTTTTCTAGAAAGAAGGATCCCTGGAAAGGATGGGGAAGGTATCACTAGAAGTGTGACTTGCGGCAAGGCGAAACCACAACCAGACGACTACGTAAAACTGAAACAAAGGAAGCCTGCAAAGCTCCAAACAGCTTATATACGCCTTACACGGCCTGACACTGCCACGTGTGTTCCTTGCGCGAGGCCTATATGACCGCCTCTTTCAATCGCAGTACGACTAGGTCTTGAACCCTGCTCATCTGGCATAAGGGGCTACCAGAAAAGGCTTGCAGAAGTTTGGCAACCCCCGTCTAATCCGAATGGCGGGGGATGTGTGACGTTTCAGTGTCCACGGGGCCCACACAAAGCGCGCTCTTCCTGCGGGTTCTCAGTAAGAAGATGAAGTGTGTGTTAACTTTCTGTGTCCAACTCAACCTCAGACATTGCCCCCAACGAAGATACCAGAAAAAATGGCTGTTGAAAAACATGTCATTCTCAGTTGAAACCGTTGCAAAGAAACATTGCCGCACTGAAAGTGCTGCAGAAATGTAGCATGTCCATCCAGCTTTCGCACATCAACCCTCGCAATGCACGCAGCTTGTCGACAAAGTTGTATGTCTCGCCACGCACGACCCACACAAAAGGCTGCGAGGGAAGTGTGTCATGTCCGTCCATTGAGATTGTATATTGGCCTGCCAGCCAGGCAGGCAGGCAGGAAGGCAGGCAGGCAGCCAGCCAGCCAGCCAGCATCAGACCGACTGCATAACGAACAATTCCCAAACCTGAACATGGTTCCCCCGGTAAACCAAGTGCGCTCGCTCGCCGTATAGGCAAAAGCCAAACCCGCAGGCGTTCGGTCCTTCTCCAAGTATGCCTCGAACCGCTTGTGCAAATCCTCATGGCGTCTCGCCCGGGCGAGGCCCTCGCAACGGATAAGGGAAAACGTTCATCCAACGTCAAGGCCGCGCAACCACCATGCCAAGCCACCAAAGAGAGAAGCTGAACTTCAGAACCAAACAAGATCAAGAATCAAAACAGGAGTGGTTGGAGGGCAAGAGCTGAGGCAGATTTGGGGAGAGCTACTTGGGTGTGGGAGTGGCGGACAACTTTTTGGGTCAAAGGGTCAGTTTCCAGCCTCCTGGTTCCCAGTTTCAGGGGACCAGGGCGTGCGTGGTTGCTTAAACAAAAATTCCCTTTAAAGGGGACTTGGGGGACCCCTTCATATTTGGCCACGAGTCAAAATCCAAATCGTACCCCCAGTGAACGTCCCAATCCCCACTAACATAGTTTCTAAAAATGGGTGTTGAATTCACCTACCAACCAAAATGGGATCCCAAAACGGCTCTCACAACCACGTTTTGGTGCCAGCTGGTCTTTGCCATAGAACGCATCGCCCATGGGCTTCGCTGGTGCCGCCGGGAGTCTGCCACTGCCTTGGCGGTAGGCTGCAAGTGGACATAAGGGCGTCGATTCCTTCTCCATTCTGTTCAACCATCGTCCTGTTCAAAAACCGGATCCGATTCCCTGGGTTTCCGGAGGTTTTCTAGAAAGAAGGATCCCTGGAAAGAATGGGGAAGGTAGCACTTGACCTTTGCTTCGCGGGAATGAGGTCTAAGTCCTCCAGTAGAGAGGTTAGAATAAGGGCACCAACTTTTTTGGTAGTCTACTTTAGTAGGAGAACCAAAAAAAAAAACGTTGGTAAAAGAGCACTACTGGGGAACCTAGATGTGAAATGACAATCTTCAAGCAAACACCCGATTAGTTTGATGCATTGTTTGCCACAATGCTTGGAAAAAATGGAATGGGATGCTTGAGGCATCCCACAAACAACACATATTTTGAGAGATATTCATTTTCTCATGCAGTTGCGACTATGTTGCGGATAAGAACGTTCACAACATTTTGGAAAGGTGCCGCATGGTGGCTAAAAGCAAGCCAACCCCAGGCATATTTTGCAACGCCCCTGATGAAGACACATGGCCTCAAGGTCCACCGACTTGCACGGTCTGTGGGGCTAGCATGGCTGCCCTTACAGTTTACAGGGGCATTGCTGCATTCTGTGCAGAGGGTCAAAGACCAACCCAAGACCGGCCTCACCATTAGCATGAAAGTCACCCTTTAGATTAAGGAACATCACTCCAGTTTCGGACTTTAGTCCCTTGAAACGAGTAAAAGAGTGGACCCCGGCAGGTGGGTTAAAGCACATTATTCTCTTGTGATCCTGACCATGGCTTCACCCATTCTGATTAGATAGGCCCCCAAAAAAACGCTTTCCCGGTTTCCTTCAACCTTCCTGTAGTTTCCATCTTCTTAGATTCTCACTTCCTGAGTGGACTGGCCAAAAGCAGTCCAAGCTTTTCAAGTTGACCACTGTGGTCCATGCCCAAAAAGCGGTAGAACGGAACTCGTGAAGTGAGCCCTGGTGCTTCCCCGAGGTCCTCCAGTAGAGAAGGTTAGAAGAAGGGTACCCGATTTTGTTTGCAATAGTCTATTTCACTAGGGGAACCCTCCCCCAACCACAAGTTGGTGAGAAAGGGCACCTAGCTGAGAAAGGGGTGAGAAAGGGCACCTAGCCCCGTCTCTTCCAAGGCACCGCCTCGCTGGACTTCACCAGCGAACGCGCCGCGTCCGCCAGGGCCGCCTCTCGTTTGGGCTGGGCCCATGAGCCTATGGTTGGTCTCACCCGGACCGGAGATGCCCTGAGTGTCGGCATCCCCTGGAAAAAAAAAAGAGTGGTGAAGTTTTCAGGTTGACCTACCATAGGTTGCCCTATGGTTGGGCAAGGTTGACCTTTTGGGGCCCTGAAAAAACACACCCCCAAGGTGGTGACTGGACCCAAAGGTATTGAAAAAAATCAAGGGCATAGGTGCCCTTTTAGGGGAAATAGATGGGTTTCTCTGGTAGGTGAGAAAAAACCACCGGGTTTTTACCAGGAATCGCCATGCTATGTTTCGACCAAAACAGCCAAAAAGGACACCTATGCTCACTGGCTGGACCTGGAAATGCAAGATTCACCCTTTTGGGGCCTTGACTAAACATGGGACCAACAAGAGGAACCTGAAAGAGCGAAAGTCAAGAGGTCGGCTTTGGGCAACTGCTGCAACGAGCCCCCTGCAAAAAAAGGCCTAGCTTGTTGTGGGCCCAATGAAAAATCATTGCTTCCCAAAAAAGTTAAAGTCCACAGATCCAACCAAATAGCCACAAAGCTACATGGTTTCCAAACGGTTCCCTGAAGGAACCACACATCAACAAGGCAACGGAGCCTGCACACCGACCGCTTTAAGGGTGAGTTTTAGAAAAGGCCCAGAGAAAGCACACTTGATTTGGACCAAAGTTACACCAATAGTGTTGTGCACCATTTTGCCCAAGAACACGACGCACGCCCCTTCCTACCTCTGGCATCTTCTGGCAATCTCCCCAAAACAAACCAGGCTCCCTAGTTTTGACATAGCCCAAAAGAAGCATGACCTCCCCTTGGCACACTCCCAAGGTTGGCACACCTATGCCAGTGGAATACATCACAGTTTTAGTGACAGCCCTGCGCTCCCGACTGCCCTTCATGGGCCTCAAGTTGTCAAGGGGAGGGTTTTGCAACCATCGGCATGGAAACAGACCGGCGGTTCCAAGGACACTCAAAAAACCATGGCCTTTGCTGGGGCGTTTGACATGCCCTCTAAGAATTACCTCTTGGTGTTCTCCGTTGGGAACAGAGATCTGAGGGGTTGTGTAGTACACATGTATGGATTACACCCGTGGGAAATGACCCGGAATGGTTCAAAATTACACGGTTTTAGCCGGAAATATAATTAGCTAAATGGGGTCAATACCCAGCGGGCGTGTTCCCAAAATGCAATACAAAAACCCTTAGAAAAAACCCGCTGACTGTTGCCGATAAGTTTCCCTGAGCTCAGTGGCCACCTACCTCCCCTCAACCATGTCCTGTGCTGACTGAATGGCCAGGTCCTCCAGTTTTGCGAGGGTCGAATAAGGGTACCAACTTTTTCCTGTAGTCTATTTTAGTTGGGGAACCCTCCCAAACGGAGAAAGGGCACTACTGGGGGACCTAGATAAGGTCGACGTAGAAAACTCGCCAAGTTTGGGCGATCCAGTTCCAGTGTCAGTGGCTTTGGCTCAACGTTAAGCATTTCCCGGATGCCTTTTCTCACAATTTGCGAAGGGCTTCCGTTCGGATTCTTGCGGGTTTCCGACGTTTTCCCGAGACTGAAACCCTTCTGCTGGGTTTTCCAACGTTTCCCCCGCGTCTTGACAATTTGCGTGGATTTCCCGAGGGTTTCCAGAGGGTTTCTTGAGGGTTCCCAGCGACCAAGCTTGGAATTGCGAAGCTTCTTGCCTAGAGTTTGTTTTTAAACAACAAGGTCACTCTTGAAACCGAAACTACGTTGCCGTCACACCGGCTGTCAATACACAGAGTACTTGCGCTTGTCTCAAACTAGGGGCCTCAAAATAGGGGCACCCGTAAGATACGCGGTTTCCTCTTGGTTTCCCTTTACTCCAAAAAGGGCCCACCTCGCGGGATTCCAAGCGGATGGCGAAAACGTCCATGAAGGTGCGCAGCTCCTGCGAGGGCATCGTTTTGAGGCGCTTGAAACAACCAAACCGCAGGGGTAGCACTGTGGACGAAACCCTTCTCGCACCACGAAATGAAACCATGGTTGAACTCTAGTCCGTGGCATTTACAGGGGCATCGAATCATTCTAGGGTTTCTGAACGGTGGTGCGAAATGGAGGTCGTCCACAGTAATCGTTCGCCGGACTTGTTGTGGTCTCCGCGGCACGGCGTGAGCAGTACCGGTGGTACCTAGAGGGATTTGAACGGCCCCAACTCAAGCCTTATACTGTCCGAGTACATCGCGCTGCGCAATCATTAAAAACAACTCATGATCATGTCTTAAGCTGGTTTCGAAGCCCCTCGCAATCGCGCAACGCTGCCATTGTGAGTCCAAAGTTGGCAGCCCTCAAGTCAACTGTTTGTGGAACATGGTTTGGTTCTTTTGTAGAAATGAAGCAACCCGCACACACAAAACCTGCAGCAAAAACCTTCAATCATGTTCAATTCAGGGGGCAAAGTGCTGTTGTTGCCTCGACCGCAGCTGTCCTGGCGCAGGCTGTCGGACAACTGATCCAAGTGATAGATGGGCAAATCGCCGGCCTAGTGTAACTCGACATGGACCCTGACCCACCCCCTCACCCCGCAAACGCGCAAACATGGCTCACTACATGGATTCCCGTCTAAGCACCATCCCCCCCCCACAAAAAAAAACTCCCCTTTACTTCAACATGACCCTCTGAAGGTGATGTTTGATGCCACCGCGATCCTTTCTGGGACCACTCCTCACGTGTGAGAGTAGCCCCTGTCAACGTCACCCTTGCACGCGCCACCAAGAGGGTCACATTTACAGAACCCTGGCGAATGGTGCAAGCGTGCCACGGTCAAAATCAGACCGTGGCCTAATTGAGGGCTCAGTCAACGGACATGTTCAGGACCTCCGACGGCGTTGCCGAGAGCAATTTCCTCAACCCTCCCAGCTCAGCGATAGAGACAGAATAGAACAAAAATGGGACCCTTCTCGTGGTCGACTTTTGGTGCCAACAAACAAAGGCAGTGTGGAACCCACTGAAGGCCTTTCCAAAGACCTGCCTTGAAGTTGGCCATCCTCCACGCGTCTTCTGCCCTCCGCTGCCACTCGCTCAGCTCCCGGTACGGCTTTGCAAAGGGCTCCTGGGCAAAACGAGGCGCCCTCTGTCCTCCATGGAACCTGACTTTTAGGGTGAAATAAGACACATGTTGCTGTGGCTCAGAAACATGTGACTTTGTGAATGGATTCAAAGTCTAAAACCTGCGTAACCCTAGCTCTTTGTTTTGAGCCACGCACATGCCTCTCTAACAATGATCATGAGGCTTTTTCGGCCTGCCCCACAATCCCGTTCCAAATTCCATGAATTTCAGTTGGGACCTTTTTTCTTCTCCCTGCTAAGTAAAAACTCGGAGCCATGACAAAAGCTCCCTGCACAAACAGCTATCCAGCTTCCTCTCGCCGACTGCACCCAACACCTCCCCAAGGTCATGCAGGCGTACTCGCTCAAAGGACCGTCGGACCTACCCCAAATATGAGAATCCCCGATAAAAGGTCTGTTGACAACTGATTGCACGGACCGCCGTGTTGCCCTGACGCAAGTCTGAGCACCTTCCGGGTGCCATTCAAGGGAAATCAGCAAAAACACAAACATATCCGTGGCTTGGCGGTCCTCGTTTTGCATCCAGAATTCTGGGACATATGCTTTGCTGGCTTCAGGCGGGCACAAAGGAAAACCAAAAGGGCAAAGGGCAAACAGGTGAGCAACGATTTCATGAAGTCGTTGTGCATTTGCCGCGTTGATCCTTTGCCCTCGGGTGGCTCCGAACTTCTCCTTTCCTGAGCACCTGCGCAGTTTTGGTATCCCCTAAAAAACACAACACACACACACACCCAAGAGTGGTGACTGGGCCCAAAGGTGGAGATAGCTTCAAGGGGTTTTTGGAGCCCTTTTAGGGGAAATAGATGGGTTTCCCTGGTAGATGATTAAACCACCAGGTAAACCAGGGCCATCTATTTCCTAACAACACAACCAAAAAGGACACCTATGGTCAAGGGTGTCTTCTACTTGGATCCCCCGCAGGCTCGCTACCCGACCGCACGACTTGGTTTGGCTTCGTTTGACCGGCGCCGGGAGCTCTCAACCAGGGCTCTCCGATCTCCATGCTCGCTGCGGCGAGGTTGCTCCTTCAAACGGCCCGTTGCGGGCATAACTGCAATCCTCCCAGCTTGGTTCTCCCAGACCTTTCCATAAGAAAAACGTCTCTTGCTTGGCACTTGCATTTCAAGGAACACCCCCTCCAACAAAGTTGATTTGTTCCGCAGGTCCGGCTGCCCAGTGTCCCTTCGCAAGTTGCTTTGGAGATCTTCGAGCCTCAAAACGCCCTAAGTCCATTGGGCGAAAGGAAGCGGCTAACCCTCACTGCCACGAATGGCAGCCTTTGATGCGGGGAAATGACCAGAGCCGAAAGGAGGCACCCAATTTCCGAGGAGCATGCGTGGACCCTCCCTTATGTAATCCGAAAAGGTTGATTGAGGCGGGGTCAAACATTCCTCAGCTTTGCTGCCCCCCCCAAAAAAAAAATCAAGACGATTCTGGCCCAGAGTGAGCCTTCAGCAGTTTAATTTCAAACTGTTAACAGGGTCCATGCCCAAAACCTTGAGCCAAAACCTTGAGCTTTCGCCAGCTACGTGTGTGAGCACTTGTGTGTCAGTGCTGGATGCGACTCGCTCACACTGAAGCAAAATAACTGTCAGACGATTCCTTTACTAGTGCTCACTGCTGGATTGAAGGGGTTCCACGCTAGTGCATACTGCTGGATTGAAGGAGGTCTCCAAGGCATCCAGTTTGACAACCTCACAATGAACAACTGACCTGAAAAGCAACACAACAGCGGGCTTGGGGTCCAAGAGGAGGTTCTCCAACAAGAGCCCCGAGCGAAGGCACAAGCCTTGCGCTTGGCTTTGCCTCGCAAGTTCGCTTTGCGGTTCCGGGGCGCTGGGACTCTCATGCTGGGGTCTACCTGGAACCAAACAATAAAACGTTGTAGAATATCACTCTTGGCACTCTTGCATTTCACTCTTGCATTTGCAAGAGTTCCACTACTTTGACACTCAAACATCATCGTAAAAATAGTTCGTACATGCCACTCTTGCATTTCATCTGAACCTTGCAAACCGAACGCAAGGAACTGCTCCGGTCTCCTGGCGTGCCTCACGCCCGCTTGCATGCCATTGAGATCAAACTCGGGGCTGCAGGCCACTCCTGCAAGGGCTAGAAGTTTGGCCATTGAACCAAAAAAAACACGAACCTCCACGTCCCACAACCCAAAGGTTCCTGAAATCCTGGCGCATCCATTTTCTAGCCTGAGGGGTGCGGCCTGTTGCTGAAGGATCTATTGAAAGTGCTAGCAGCATTTCGAGCCGTTGGCCAAGACCTCCCGCACTCCCGCGGTGACTTTAAAGAAGGCTGCACGTCTAAACGCTTGAAGAAAAAAGGAAGACATGCCCCCTCCCCATTTTTTGTTTCGCAAGTGCAAGGGTGAGATTTCACGACCCCCCCCGGCGGAAAACCACAGAGCCCCCCTGCAATGGCCCCCCCCCTTCGCGTTGCCAAGTTGCGGAACATGCTGCGCACGTCCCGGACCCTTGAGCCATCAGAGCATCTTCACCACTTCAACCGAACAACACACGGTGCGAATGCCTGACCCTTGGGCACGTAGAAGCCTAAGGCGCTGTGTCCACAATCTTGTGTGTGTATGTACATCTATATGTACACATATGTATATATGTATGTATGTATATACGTATGTATGCATATACGTATGTATGTATATATTAATGTGTGTTTGCTTGCACGTGTGTGTGTGTGTGTGCGCACATGTGCCTGTTTATCAGTCTATCGATTCATCTACTGGTTGCCCTACTAATGTGTATCAAACAAATGCCTTGGGCAAGTGGGAACGCGCCACGCAAATCTGCATCCATATCAGTATACAGTATATATGTATACTTTTGTCTCTACATAGACACATATAGACACGTATGTATGAACGTATGTATGTCTGTTTGTCTGTCTGTTTGTGTCTTTCTCTCTGTCTGTCTGTCTGTCTGTCTCTCTCTCTGTCTCTCTGTCTGTCTCTTTGTCTGTCTCTGTCTGTCTCTGTCTGTCTCTGTCTGTGTCTCTGTCTGTCTCTGTCTGTCTCTGTCTCGGCTGTCTGTGTCTCTGTCTGTCGGTCTGTCTCGGACTGTCTCTGTCTGACTCTGTCTCTGTCTGTCTCTGTCTGTCTGTCTGTCTCTGTCTGTCTTTCTGTCTGTCTGCCTGCCTGCCTGCCTGCCTGCGTGCCTGCCTGCCTGCCTTCCTGCCTGCCTGCCTGCCTGTCTGTCTGTCTGTCTGTCTGTACATGTGTGTGTGTGCGTGTGTGCATGTGTGTATGTGTGTGTGTGTGTATGTATGTATGTATGTATGTATGTATGTATGTATGTATGTATGTGTGTATGTATGTATGTATGTATGTATGTATGTATGTATGTATGTATGTATGTATGTATGTATGTATGTATGTATGTATGTATGTATTGCATGCATGCATGCATGCATGTATGTATGTATGTCTGTATCTATGTATGTATGTATTTATGCATGCATGCATGCATGCATGCATGCATGCATGCATGTATGTATGCATGTATGTATGTATGTATGTAAATATGTGTGTATGTCAGTATCTATGTATGTATGCATGCATGCATGCATGCATGCATGTATGTGTGTGTGTGTGCATGGACGTGTGTATGTATGTATTTATGTATGTATGTACGTACTTGCATGCATGCATGTATGCATGCGTGCGTTCGTGCGTGCGTGCGTGAGTGAGGGAGTGAGTGAGTGCGTGAGTGAGTGAGTGAATGACTGAATTAATGAATGACTGTGTGTGTGTGCATGCATGCATGTATGTATGCATGTATGTATGTATGTATGCATGCATGCATGTATGTATCTATGTATGTATGCATGCATGTATGCATGTATGTATGGAAGTAAGTATGTGTGCATGTATGTATGCATGTATGTATGTTATCGATCTATCTATCTACCTATGTATGTATGTATGTATGTATGCATGCATGTATGCATGTATGTATGTATGTATGTTATCGATCTATCTATCTATCTACCTATGTATGTATGTATGTATGTATGTATGGGTGGGTGGGTGGATGGATGGATGGATGCATGTACATATGTATGTATGTATGTATGTATGTATGTATGTATGTATGTATGTATGTATGTATGTATGTATGTATGTATGCTAGGTGTGTATGCATGTAAGTGATTTCATGTGATGTCGTGTCATGTCACGTCCCGTCACGCATGCATGTACGTATGTATGTACGTACGTCGGTAGGTATGTGGTATGTATGTATGCATGTAGGTAGATAAGTAGGTGTGTAGCTATGTAGGTATTTACGTGTTTAGGCATGTAAGTATTTACGCATTTTGGTATGTATAGGTATGTAAAGTATTTTGGTATGTTGGTATGTAGGTAATCATGTATGTGGCATGCATGTTCGCATGTATGCATGTATTTATGTATGTATGCATGAATGTATGTATGTGTGTACGTGGCTGTGGGTCAAAATCCGGTACCTCCAGAACATCCCAATTCCCACAAAAATAGACTAAAATGGGCGGTGCACCTACCCCAAAATGGTACAATTGGCGTTGACCCTATGCGCATGCAATTTCATCCAGCAACTGCCCGGTGAGGGGAACAAAAAGCAACAGCCCGGGCGGTCTGAACCATGCCAGCAGACGGATGGCAGGTGCATCCGAAACGGATGGCAAGCCCCAAGAGCCACAATCAAGGCCCGGGTAGACGAAGGTTAGTAAGGGACAATCCCAACCATAAATAGCTGCGGCCGCCTTCCTGGATCGACCATTTTAATACCGGGTTTTTTTCATTGTGACTCAAAAGGAAACGCGGCACTGACTGACCCCCCGTCTGCAGGAAACGACATTCTACCGCCCGTGGTCAGTTGCAATGAAGCCCGGAAGTCAAAGAAAAAGAAAGTCATGGTCTGTCCAAAACTGCACCTGGAAGTCCAGTCATCTTCTCCTTGGGGCGACTTAGTGACTCGTAATTATTTGGCACGCACCTTTCAGCACAGCCGGCCTTTTTTGGCCGAATCGAGTCTGCCAAAAAATACCGCCTCCACAAATCCTTGTGGTGGACCAGTCTTAACGAGAACCCGCCCAGGGCCTGAAACAGCCCTGGTAAAGACAAGGAACCCACCTGAAAAGCGACCCCCTCCAATTTCCCAGTGATGGGTTTTTGGTGTGCGTCAGAATTAAACAACAACATGCTTGTGTTTTAGGGCTCTCTTTAATCAGCAAGCCAAGGCTGACCTTCCATGGTCAACTGCCGCACCACCCCATACAGTCGCATGAACCCGAACATGTTTCCTAAAGGAAGATCTACAATTAGGGGACTCGGGGTTCCATGATAATGTTCATCGGACTGTTTGTGCTCAAGACATTACAGCGCCACTTGCAGAATCCGAAAATCCTACCCGACCATCCAGTTCTGACGATTGGCGTTTTAGCCACCCCGCAGGTTGGGACTTTTCCAGCCTACCGAAACAAAGACCACCTCATCAACCTGGGGTTCCGTGCCCTTTAGTCACTTGGGCTACAACCCCTTGAGAGAAAAACTACATCCCACCTTTCAAATCTCAGCTCTGGTCCAGCGACGTCAATGTGCCGGACCCCCCCCTCTCCCCGCCCCGTTCTTTTCTTTCCGTGGCACCATGAGGCGCAACCGCAAAGTTTTTTTTTTTCTGGAACTTGGGCTTGACAATGGGCAATGCGTGCAACCTCGGCCAGGTCTAAAACTTTACCGGTATTAATCTGGTGGAGTGTAGACAGTGTATAGATAAGCGTTCGCCAAAGTGAAACATAAACTCTAAAATAGCCATCCCTTCCCCCTATTCAGCAACCAGGTTGATGAATTCGGGGTCGACCTTGACTCGCAGAATGCCTATAAAAGTACCCAAAACCAGCTGACGTTTAGAGGTGGTTGGAGCGGTTTGCATTGCCTCACTGTACCCCCCCCCCCACCCCCAATTTTGGGCGACGCCCGGATGGAGAGGAAGCAATGCTTGCGCCTGAATTTTGGGGGAATCTTAGTTGACCAGGACCTTCCTCTTCAAGAACGAAGGCTTTTTCAATGCTCCATACTCTCTGAAGGAAACTGCTTGCAAGGGCGACCAAACCAATGAATAAACCAAAGGGGAGGATCTTGCAGTTGCAGGTTGCGTTTGAACAGCGGTTGCTCAACTTGCTACATGTGGGTATGGGTTCAAATTAAACCACTAGGGGCCCGCAGGTTTTACTCAATGTTTCATTTGCCAGGGCAACCCATTTTTGGCTCCAATCTGTCACCCACAAACAGTTGGGCGTTGCAAATCGGCTGAGGAACAAAGGCGCAGGTGCCCAAACATCCGAGATTGAGGTGAGACGGGAGCTGCCGAATGCCAAGATCCCGACAGAACCCAACCACATCGGGCTCCCTGGGTGTTTCTTACCCCTTTGGTTGGTCTTCAGGGGAAACCAAAAGCAAACCAGGAGTTTTGCCGGGTTCCCCCCCCCCCCCCGTTTTTGACACAAACCCACATTTCCGTTTTTGACACAAACCCATATTTTCGCTTTAAGCCTTACTTGAAAGGGCGACTCTCCGACGGCCTTGTTCTGGAGGCTAATCAACCCCTAAGCTTTGGGGAGTCGTTGCTCTGTTGCGCCCGACCGAGACCCTAGAAAGTCGTGTGGTCATTGTTCCACCCGGCCGCGTTCCATGCCAAAGGGGCCGGGTGTGGAAAACATGCGACACACACATCCCTTACTTCTATCCATCCCGAAAGTATGTTTCGGGAGCTTTGAGTTTACTCGGCATCCGGCAAAGCGCTCTTGGTGCAAGTCTTGAAGCCTTGGGAAAAGGCGGCGGCTCACTTGCGCGGCTCGTGCGCTCACGGGCGCTCAGTGCGCTCACGGGCGCTCACTGTCGCCTGGCTATGTACGCGTTCCAAACGACAGCCAAAGCCAGGGTCGCTAACCAAAACGGGTATGCATCTATAGATTTGCCCGCGCATGCGTGTTCTGTGCAGATAGTGTATACCTCTCTCTATATGCACATATATATATATATATAAATATATATGTAGATATATAGAGGTGTGTGTGTGTGCATTTGTGACAACCAGTGAATTGAATGAATTGATGCAGCGATCAGTCGCTAGTCATAGCCGACAGCAGCCTGCAAAACCGATGGGGGCCTACCCAAATCAATAGCTCTTCATAAGAATCCGGTGCCCAAGGTTAACTCGCGCGGCATTTCCGCATCCAGCTTCCTTGTAGACACGGGGTAAGCAAAAGCAGAGCCCCAAATCGATACTAAGGCCGCTATCATATCCTGCAAATACCCGGCCGTTGTACCCTACGTGACCCACCCGGCAGTCAGATGATGAAGGCATCTGGTCAAACACAAGGAAAGCGGGGCTGCTAAACAGAAGCCAAGCTCCGCATCGGAGCAAGTTCGATGCTTCCGAGGCTGCTCAAACCAGCTGGAGCTGTGGAAGTGCATTTGTGGACTACTTTTGTTGCCGGAGTG